TCTTAAAAAAAAAAAAAAAAAAAAAAAAAAAACTCAGTACATATGTAGTAGATATGTTTTTTTTCAGCCCATTTGTAAAAAGCCCATTTCGGATGTAAAAAGCCCAGTTTCTTAATGACCCAAAATGATAAAGTCCAGTAGATATATTGTCCAGCCCATTTGTAATTCAATGACACGCTGCAAGGCCCAAAATGATAGAGCCCAGTGGTTATTTCCATTTTAGTAGGCCAATATTATGGGCTGGACTGTTTTTAATGTAGAAGCTCATTGGGCAACACTTCAAAGCCCAAGCTAGTAAAGCCCAGTTACCCATTTTATTTCACATTTCTAATTTAAAAAAAAAAAAAAAAAAAGAATTCATCGACTGATTCCTCTGCTTTCCCAGCTATCTCTTTCTCTTTCGTCCTGCGTATGGGCATCTTGAATCTAAGGCATTCTGTTTCATTTGGCTTCGATTATGTTCATTTCTTCAGTAATTATTTATGAAGGTACGGTTCCTAGACGTGATTTTTCTAACATATTGCCGTTTGTATATCTGCTTGTTCTAGAATTTTATCATGTCTGAGCTAAAGGCGTTATGCTAATCTTGCCTTCATGGGTACTTAGCAGCAGTTGTTTTGATCATACCAATTTCCCAGAAGTAGAAAAGTATTTCTTGCAGCTGGGTGAGAAGGAAATTGATGACGTTTGACTTTGTTTATTTCTGTCCTTGCTTAATCATTTCTAGCTCATTCTCAATTTCCCCAAGCAACCGTCAGTGTCTTGATCAGTGTTTATGGAGCTTTGTTAATCGTAGGGTATAAGTGACTTATTCTACAGCATATGTTATTGAAAAACTAGTTGAATATGTAATGTCCGAAGCTCTTGATTCTTGATCTGTCGGCCAATGTTGATTTCTGGCTTAACTTATTTTATATTCCGTGATGCTGATTTTGTTCTATTAATTTATGCGTGGTTTAACTATCTGTGTGCAGTAATATTTGAGAGGAAACCAGGCTTAAGTGTATTAGTGGCTAGTGTAGCCTAAAGGACCCGAATACTGAATTTTGG